GCTGGGATGATCCTGTGTCTCCCTCTTCTGTTAATGGGATGTGTTGTTTTGATTTTCATACGCTGAACCAGCCTCACAAACCCACTTAATCATGGCAGATGACCCTTTCAGTGTATTGCCAAATTCGATTTTCTAGTATTTTTGTACAAGATTTTTGCCTCTATACTCATAAGGTCATGAGCGACATTAGTTTATGGTTGGTTTTTGTCTTGTTTGTCTGTTTGTTTGTTTAATACAAGATCTTACTATATGGTCCAGGCTGGCCTCAAACTCATCATGTACCTTAGTCTGGTCTTGAACTTGTGATCCTCCTACCTCAGCCTCCTAAGTGCTGGGATTATAGGTGCAAGCCACCACATCCAGCTTATGTTTTTTTTTCTTGTAGAGTCTTTGTCTAGCTTGAACAGCGAAATGTTGGTCTCACAGAATGATTTAAGAAGTGTTCCCACCTCTTCACATTTTTTTGGAAGCGTTTGTGAAGGATTGGTGCTAATACTCCTTAGTGTTAAATGTAAGAGTTCACCAGTGAGGACGTCCTGACTTGTTACAGGTCTGGGCAGATTTTGTTTCCTGAGTCACTTTGGTAATCTGCACACCTCTCGGGTTTCTAGGCTTCATCTCAGTCTCCAGTTTGCTGTTCCCAGTGGTCTCCCTCCGACCTTTCCTGTTGGGAAACTGGCAGTCATGCGTGTATTTTGGAGGTCCTGACAGGTGTCCCAGGTCCACTTCCAGCACAAGGGTCCACGAGAACCATCAAAGGTGACAAGCTTCCATCCTGGCCTCTTCGGCCTCAGGCTCAGACCCAGGCTGTCCTGGGACCCCAGGAGCCAGAGCAGACTTTGGGGAGCATTTGCAGTGCACAGCCCCTGCAGAGGGCTCCCCAAGCACTGTCTCCTTACTCCTCCAGCAGCCCCATCCCCGGGGTCCTATCACCGCTCCGGCCCACAAGTGGGGAGACCTAGGCTCAGAGCCACCAGGGACCTGTGTGAAGTCACACAGCAAACGAGCCACCCCTGGGCGCAGGCCTGCCTCCAGGCCTACTCTGACAAATGTGTCGTTCAGCACCTGCTTCCCAAGGGCGAGCACCCCGGACGGACGACGGACAGGGGCTTGGGCCCTCCCTGCCTGCAGGGAGCGCAGAGCACAGCCTCCCAGGAACCTGGGCAGAGACGCTCCGCCTGCGGACACAGAGCAGGAACTCGCCCGCCGAAGTGCCCAGCCGGCGCTGTGCACACGAGGCGATTGCAGAAAGTCCAGGGCAGCCAGGGCTGGTGTCCCCTCCGACGTGAGCTAGGCACAGCGGCCAGGCTGGGGCGGAGTCACGTCTCACTCTATGCCCCCTTGCACTTTCGGGTTTGTTTCAGATGCATGGACACAAATTTCTAAGTCCCCAACCCCACCCCAGGAGACGGGGTCCCCTCAGTGACTCGCCCCTCTGCCTCGGGGTGCTACACAGCCGGGCCCCCAAGGCCAGGGCTCCTTCCCGGACGAGGAGTGTGAGGTGGGGCTCCAGGACGAGCTCAGGCTGCGGAGCCCGCAGGACCAGGACTCCCGCCGCTGTGTGACAAAGGTGGTTACACGACCTTGCTGATCTCAGAGCCCACATCTGTGGGGGAATGGTGAAAATACCTGCGGTGGAGAGTCGTTAGGAGGATTACGAGACAGCCCTTGACGCGGACTGAGAAACTCTCTTTCACATGCTTGTTTAGTATAAGAGGACAACGCTTAGTATCCTTCACCTCACAAAGCCAATCTCCTGAGGAGCGTGCGGACTGGCCCGAGCCTGGGGTGATGGCTCCCCCTGGTGGACACATTCTGGAGTGTCCCTGAAAAGTACCAATCTGACCCATTAGAGGAAGGGTAAGGCCAAATTAACTCCATTTCTTCCCACTGACCCCTAAATATTTGTGTGTACTTCTTAACAACAAGGAACAGCCAGGTGTGGTGGTGCACACCTGTAATCCTAGCACCTGGGAGGCTGAGGCAAGAGGAACACCTCAAGTTCAAGGCCGGCCTGAACTAAGTAGCAAGATCTTGTCTTGTAACAAAATCAAACAAAAAAGAACAACGACACACTCTTATATAACAGCACAATAATCAAAATCAGGAATTTAACCTTGAGAGAATACTGTTCTCTAACACACACAGCCCACATTCCCCCGTTGCCAGCAGCCCACATGGCACCTTTCTTTACTGCTTCCGGTGCTTGGCTCTGCAGGGTCATACACGGCACAGGTCTCTCTAACATCTTTCACGGCTGAAGTATATCTCAGCTTTGCTTCTTCTTTCACAACCTTGACATTGTTAGAGTTCAGGCTATGGATCTGGCAAAGCATCCCTTGAGAAGGCTGTGTCTGCAATTTCCTCTTGGCTGGATTCATGTTACATGTTTTTCTCAGCAGTTTCACAGGTGGTAGGCTGGGTCCTTGGGACACAACGGCAGGGGGCACACGGTGTCAGTCTGTCCCAGTACTGCCGAGGCTGACACGAACTGCCTGGCCCGCATGCACGGTGAGGCTAAGCCCAAGGCCAGCGAGGAGCTGACCCTGGTCTCCGGTCACTTGAAGGCCACGCTCCCCAGCTCAGGGCAGGGCAGGTGCTCGGGATAAATGTGACCAGGGAGGGGACAGCAGTGTTGGCTTCGTGGTGTCATCCAGACAGGCCAAGCTGCCTAGAGTTCCACCCTTCTGCTCTGTTTATATCAAGACCTTCTATTCCACAAGCGATAAATGAACATATTATCCTGGTTTTTTTTTTTTTTTCTTTTTCAAAAAATGTCTTGGCACTCAAGAGGCTGAGGCAGGATGATTGCTGTGATGCTGAGGCCAGCTTGGGCTACATAGGGGCTCAAGGCCAGCCTGGACTACATAGCGAGACCCTGCCTCAAAACCAAAAAACAAACAGACCAGAAAAAAGTTCCAGCCAAGACTAAAATTCCCTTTGAAAAATCCCCCTTCCCCAGTGCCCTCTCCCTCTTCTGGAAGTCACCACTGTTCCTAGTCTGATGTGAGATACACATTTATACCCCCAGGAAAAATACCATGAAGCGTTCTCTTCCCATAAATGGTCAGTGGACAGATCAACCCCGTAGAGACTTCCCTGGCAGGACTTGGCGACTGAGCTAACTATTCCTACTGCAGGATCATGTTCTATCTAGCATGTGGATGTATGAGGGTTACTGAAGGGCTTCTAGGTTAGCAGCATTTTGCTGTTCTGAAATACCACCTCCTGCACGTGCTCCTCGACTTCTCCAAGGAAACCGCCTCCCCTGCAAGCCCCATTCATGCCTGTGCCACTCCCTGAACGGCCTCTGACTGGGAGGAATGGGCTTCTTCTCTTGTGGGCTTTTATTCACTAAGCCTACGAGAACTGCTGGGCCCAGGACCGCTGCAAGCTGCTGGGCTGGGTTTTTACACAGTGTTTCCAGGATGGAGACAAGGGTTTTCTGGGCTGGTGAGGGTCCAGATCCTCATCCTAACCCCAACCAGGGTCCCCCTGCCGTCACCTCTGGTTTTCTATTCAGTGACTTCCAATGAGACTCTCAGCTGTCTCTGAATGCAGCAGCCCCCATAGGTCTGATTCCTTAGCAGGCACAGGCAACTGTTCTGCCTCTTCTGGATCTGCTCCGGGCAGTGCAGTGTCCAGCCCCACTCTTGCTAGCGATGCCACGTGACTAGACCAGGATCCCAGCTGACAGGCGCCAAAGGGGTCTCTGCGGGTGCTGCAGGGCCACCATTTCTGGGTGTTCATCTGGACCCCTTGGTCCCCTCCACTGGGGGCTGGGAACCAAGACACCCCAGCTGTGTCCCCAGCACACCGGTCCTCCATGCCTCAGGAACGGTCTCTGCATAGGACAGGCTCTGGCTCATGCTCGGAGGCCTGAGTCAGCACTCCCAAGCTGTCCTGTGCCTCAGAGAGCTCGGGGAATGCCCACTGTGGGACGCCACTCTCCGAGGCTCTCAGCGAGTGCATGGGAGGCGGGCACAGGGATGTGCACTTTTAAAGCTTCCCAGGGGAGTCAGAGAACAGGTCAGATTCCTGCTCTGCAGACAGTGAGCCAGGGCTGCTCTGCTTGGCCAGGCCCTGTCCCTTCCCAGGCAAACCTGGAGTCTGCCCTGAATGAGGCTGGGACCGTTTTCCAAGTTTTCTCGGACGGCGAGACTGCACTAGTTAGAACCCACGAGAATCTGACCCAGCGTGCCCCCAAATGGCCCCTGCAGCATCCTAGAAAGCTCGTCCTAAAACCCCAGGTTGCATCTTCGGGAGCCGTATGTCTGCAGGTAGGGCCTGGGGATCTGCACTTCCCCAAAGCGACAGTGCTCCGGAAGCCAGCAGGCCTGCTGTCACGTGGATGCGCCACGCTCCGGATGTCTGTTTCGGGTGTCGTCCGACCAGCGTCTTCATCCCTGTGTCGTCAAGGTTAACTCTCCCTGGGAAATTCTCCCTCCGCACGCAGAGAGATGGCGGAAGCTGAGGGCCGACAAGTAAAACGACCTGTCCCCGGTCACGGTCACAGCAGCAGCAGCAGCGATGGCCCCGGCCTGAGTCTTCGGGGCTCCCTGTGTCCAGCACTCCCACGCCAATGTGTGCAGAGGCTCTTGGTCACCCACGGGGCCCACATGGCTGCCCTATCACAGCCCTCTGCAATGTCTGCAAAGGCTTCAGACCCTGGGTTATAAAACCAGGGGAGATATGGGCTTAGCCAACACTGTGCGCGTGTGTGTGTGTGTGCGTGTGTGTGCGCGCGCGCGTGTGTGTGTGTACACACACTCATGCAGTAGGTAGGCTTCGGCCATGTATGCAGACACCCCAACCTCCACACTTTCTTTTTTTATTTTTATTTATTTTTTATTTTTTTGGTTTTTCTCCGGTACCGGGAACCGAACTCACGACCTTGCGCTTGCCAGGCAGGCGCTTTCGCCGCTGAGCTAAATCCCCAGCCCCCTCCACACTGTCTTGCAGGCTGTGGAAGAAAGGCAGAGACAAGCAGGACCAGCGCATACAAACAGAACCCCACTTTATTAGCAGTTAGTTCGAGATTGTACATTAATGGAGGAAGGTTCCCACTTTTAACACAACCCAAAATGGCTGGTTCAAGAGCTCATCAGGTGAGCGGGCAGCGCCCCTCTCCAGCCTCACCCCACCCACCAGGCAAGGAGCCCCTGCCTGCTCCCCTGTGCCCCCTAAGTGCAGTCGGCCCTCTCCTCTCCCCAGGAAGCCACATGAATTTCATGCACAAATTACAGAAGGAGCCCTCTTGCTGATCAGAAAAACTAGCTCAGCCCTAGAAAGCCCCCTCCACCTTTCTCCTCCTCCCGAGAGGAGCAGCGGGATGAGGGATGAACCTCCTAGGACAATACTCGGCTGCAGTCTCTCCCTGACCCCTGGCACTGCTGCACACAAAGCCCACACCTGTCTCAAGGGAGCTAACGGCTGGCTGGGCCTGTGAGCGGTAAGGGCATCTGGCCCAGGGCTGGCCCAGCGGAGACACCCTCGCTTCCGCTAGAGCAGAGATACTTCCTACCTGGTCATTCTCAAACCACTGCTCCAGACCCGGCCAGCTCATTCTACAGATGGGGAAATTGAGGCTCCGGGAGGAAGACTGTCATGCAGTCACCAAGTGTACCCAGGTGGGACAAAAATTCACAGTTCCTGCCTCTGGCCCAGTGCTCCTGTCCCGACACCACAGCTGGGGGAGGCATTTCCCCATCTAGGCGCCCCGTGCTGCAAGCCAGAGGGGCCCAGCTCTGCTCCAGTGCACAGAGATGCAGGCGCCCACGAAGCAGAAACCCAGGACCACAGAGAGTGAGGTTGGGTGCTGGGTCCTGTGCCCTGCTGCCCACACCCAGGTCAGAGGGCTGCCAGGCGCCCTGAAGCCAGGGGTCTCATTCCATCAGACCCAGAGCCGGCCCAGCCTCCTTGTGTCCCCTCCTGCGGTGCCCTGTCCCTTCCTCCCGCCCCTCCAGGCCCCTCCCCTGAGCTCCTGCAGCTCCCACCTGACCTCTGCTGGTTTGGCACTTCCTACAAGTGACAGCGGAGGTGCCACTCAGGCAGGAGGGAGCTGCCTCATCCGTGTGAACGGTGAAATTACCCTTGAGAATATAGGGAGAAAGGAACTGATCGGACGACACCAGGAGAAAGCAGACATCCGGAACGTGGGACTCCATGACAGCAGGCCTGCTGGCCTCACGGACATCATTGTTTGAAAATCAGATGGGCAGGGAGAAGAGCTTTTAGCACTCAGAGATTTTAAAAACATATTACAAAATGCCAAGCGTGCACCTTGGTTGACTCCAATTCCAAACCCAGGTGAGTTATTTGGGGAACAGCAGATGCTGCTAGGAAATCCCTGTCATTGGTCTTAGCTGCGGCTCGGGCGCCACCTCTGGGGGGACATGGGCAGAAGCGTCTAAGGGGAAGCCCCGAGATGTCTGCAACTTACTTTAAACTAGGTCAGAAAAACACACACATACAGAGAAAAGTACAAACGTGCCAAATCCTGGTGACTTTCCATCTAGACACAGGGTAGTGGGCATCTATAATCAGACTGTGGGAGATGCTTTAGGAGCTGCTCTTCCCGCCAGCACAGCTGCTGGGGCCGCCAACCTCTCCAGGTCCCGACAGGAGTCTGCCTTGCGGGGGCAGCGGCCTCCCCTCAGTGGGACTTGGAAGCACTGGCTGCTCCGACACAGGGGCGCAGAAGACGCCCCACTTTGGAGGAGACTCATCCTGAGTGACTGAGGCGGCTGCAGTGACACCACCCTGGGCAGAGAAAGGTAGAGGGGACACAGGACGGAGGGTGGAGTCACCTGCTCGACTGAAGCCCTTTCTGTCTCTCATTTTTGGCCAAATGCTGACAGGTAATCCATGGACAGGGAAGACTGACCGTGCTGCCCTGTATACTCTGGTTTCCTGTGTGAGCCAGGGGTCTGCGTGGCCATTAGCTGAGAGCCCCAGGGCAGCAGAACCCCTCTCCTCACCCCCACGCTCCACGGCCTGGCTGTGTCTGGGCTGGGGAGAAGAATCTACCAGTGGGGAGGAACAGAGCGGCAGTGACCACAGAGTAGCAGGGACCTCACCAAAAAACGGGCAGCAGCTCTGCTCCAGAGACCCGCAGGAGAGCTGAGGCCCAAATCCAGGCTCTCTCCCTGGCTCTCCACCCGGCCTGCAGCCACCTGAGCCTGGGGAGACAGAACGGTGCTGCCGGCCTCCGGAGCGGTGTGGGAGAACAGGCTCCAGCGCAGAGGGCAGACTCCGGAGCATGGGGGCCCCGCCCCGGTCACAGCAGACAGTCCCCACCGGCAGGCCAGGAGGGAGGCTCAGGGCTTGCACCATGGAGGCCTGCTCACTCTGGAAGTTGGGCTCTAGCTTGCAGCTGTCCTTGTGAGCAGTGGAGGACAGGAAGCGGCCCTGTCCTCAGGCACTATGCCCCCCACCTCTGCCAGCCCATTGGCCAGGCCACGGGGGGCCTGCCCTCAACACGTACTGCAGCGACGGTCACACCAACCATCCAGACCCTTCTCCAGCCCAGCGCGGAACTCGAGGAGAGGGAATGAGCTGGGAACAAGGCTAGGAAAGGGCCTCCTAACGGGGTGGGGGCCGGAGAAGCAAATGCACGTCTGGGAATGAGAAGGCTCAAAGGCACCTGGCTGGGAAGAGTGGTTTGTCCCCATGTCCTGGAATGACCACAGCTGTGACTGAGGGAGGGACAGGAACCGGGCACAGCGGAGGGTCCCACGCAGGCTAGAGGCAGTGTGGTATCGGAAGAAGAGCACTGGACCAGAACTGGAGGCCCCGGGTTCAACTCTCAGCCCTGCTGCCTATCAGAGGGGACATGGCCGAGCAGGCCCACTCCCTTCCCGGACCTGCTCTGCATGAGTCAAAGGACCTGTCCGACCCAAGATGCCAGAGTCTTGGGAACAAGACCAGCTCTCCAGGAAGAATTCCCCGGGTGTCTGGTGGGAGCCGAATTGGCAGTTGAGGGGGCCGGGAGGCACCCTCGCCTTAGACACTTCACATTGTTAAAGGGGAGCAGGAGCAAAGCCCAAGTAGAAACTGGTCGAAAGGCGCCACAGGGCCTGGAGACAGCTCTGTGGGTCCCAGGGGCACCCACAGCCCCCAATCTAGCACCATGTGAGGGGAGAAGGACAGGCCGGCTGGGCCAGCGCTTCCACCCTAGCCCCAGCTACTTCCCTTGGCCCCAGTTCCCCAGGACCACTGGGCCCCATGAAGCCAGGCTTCCTGGAGAGAGCTGTCTGCCCTGTGCGTGTCACTGCCTGCTCCCCTGGGATGGCCCCAGGCAGCTGCGGCACTTGGGAGAGGAAACATCTCTCCATGGACACCCCCATAGTGTCCTCATGAGCCCCCCACACTGAAGATGCGTCCTCCTTCCCTCAGAGCTCATTCTCCAGCACTAAGATATGACATCCTTGATACTGGGGCTTACCACCATTGTATAAGACTGAATTAAAAACAAACCCAACCAAAAAAAATATAATATATATATATACACATTATATATATATATATATATATATATATGTAACACAGTGCGACCCCAGCACCCAGGGTTTGAACTCTGGCACCAAGAAAAAAAACAAAATATTAAAATACTTTAGCTTCTTAGTATTTGAGAGGTTAGGGGGTCTCTGGGAACCCTCGGCCACAGGTCGTGTGGGCAGAGCAGCGGGCGGCAGTCCCCACCGCTCTGCCATGTTTCTGGCCGAGGCGGTGGGCGGGACGATGTATGTACATGGGGATGCGTGTACTGCAGACTCCTGACCCGCCTCAGCCCTTTACCACAGGAAACACCACGCGTGTCACACCCCAGGTGAAGACTGGGTGAGATCAAGGCCTGAGTCTCTGGACCCACATGGCATGGCAGTGCCCTTGGCCTTGGAAGAGGCCTTGAGGACTGGGTAGGAACTGTAGGGACCAGAGATTCTTTCCCCACAAGGGAAGGTGAGATGGGAAGGTATGAAGCCAAACATGGAGGTGCGATGAATCTCTTACGGTGGCCACCCTCACCCACCTAAGGACCACCTCTGGCACCCAGCTGACCCCTGTGAAGGGCCTGGCTCAAAACACTCAGAGGAATGTCCAGTCTTTGTCCCTGGTTTGGCAAAAGACCCAGCTGGGCTCTTCTCCCTTATTGTCTGGAGGACAGGGAAAATACGGCAGCTAATACTGAGGGGATACCCTGCTGGAGCAGGGGAGGGGATGCAGAAGAGGGTGTGGTTGGTAGAACACAGTGAGGGACAGGAGAGAGTCTTGTGGACTCCCTCCCACCAAGAAGTGGCCTTCCACCAACAGGAAGTGGCCTTCCCCAGGGAGGCTGTGAACGGAATGGGCCTCTGGTGCTGGGGAGATCCGGTAGGCCACAGACCCAGCGGTGGAGGCTCTGAGGCGCTTGTGGACCTGCCTCGCTTCTCCTGGCCCTGCGTGGGCCTCAGCAGAGTATTGCTCGTAAGTGCCTGGCCAGCCCGGCCCGCTCCCTCTCCGCAGGTCAGTCTGGCTCAGCACACAGCGGGACGTCCCTGCTGTCACAAGGGTCCAGTCTGGCAGTGGTGGCCATGGCTACCTGGTGTTCTGGAGGTCCTCCCGCAGCCAGGTGGGCAACGTCTGGCCCATCTTGTACAGCAGCTTGGAAAGCTCGACGTTGTGGTCCCGGTAGTAGTCCTTCAGGAAGGCTCGGGACTGCAACAGGAAAGGAGGCCAGGTGAGGGGGTGGCGGGCACTAGCCACTGCTCCCTCTAACACGGCACTCTGCTGGCCCCATGCCATGCACCTCTTTTTTACACACAGTCCTCTTCTAAAGGGAGCCTCCAGAGAAAACTGCCATATACGTGCAGCTCAAAACTCTTGTAATAGAGAGAAAGGCACATTCATCAAAACCAGAGGGAACCCAGGCGTGGTGGTGCGTGCATGAATCCCAGCACTCGGGGGGTTGAGGCAGGAGGATCACTGTGAGTTTGAGGCCAGCCTGGACTACACAGTGAGTTCATGTCAGCCTGAACCACATAGTGAGACCCTGTCTCAAAAAAAACAAAACAAACACATGGAAAAAAAAAAACCCAGAGGCAAACAGGATCAGGAAACATAAGAAGGTGCCATCTATGACCGTCCCTGCCTGCTTTAGGACATGCTATAATGTCCTATGAGGATGGCCTAACTTTCCATTCCACAGGCCCAAATGTTGACCCCAGAGACTCCACCTCCCCCGAGAAGCCGCCCTTGTGCTGAGTGTCGTCACTTCTGTGCCCCTTTGCTGCACCGTGCGCTCCCCACTGCACCCTCACCCGTGCGGCATCTCGTCTGCCCCGCATGAGGAGTTCCGAGGGGCAGGGGCACGCCTGCTTTGTCCTGGAGCCCACAGCACCGCCTCGGTGAAAGACCAGGGTACCGAACACCTGCGTGCTCTGCCCCCGCTCAGGCGCCCCTGGTACTGACCAGCTGCCGCAGGCGCCACAGCCACCACTTACATCCAGGTCCATCTCTGGGTATTTCCGGCCCTTGCTTTTGCCCAGACACTTGGTTTTTCCTCCTTCGAGCAGCTGGCACCAAAATCCTTTCTTTGGATCAAACCTGCGGCAGTGGGGAAAGCTGCGGTGAGAGCCAGCCCACCCCGCCCTCCACGGAGGCGGCACCCGGAACGGCAGAGCCAGGAGCTCAGGGAACCCACTGCTCTTTGAGCCCTCGAACTGCACTCACTGCGGGGCTGATATTCGCCATCTACTGGCCCAAGTTTAGCCGCCTGGGCTACGCTAACCTTGCCGTCCCTCCTGCCTGCAAAGGGCCGCTGCCATAGTCTTCAAAACCTAAGCTGCCTGGCCAGCAATCCATAACATGGACGCTTGTGGGTGCTGTGTGATCCTGGGCACTGGTGTCAGAATTTCTAGCTCAGCAGTGAGTTACATTTTAAGCCAGAGGGGCTGGGGATTTAGCTCAGTGGCAAAAGCGCCTGCCTGGCAAGCGCAAGGTCGTGAGTTCGGTTCCCGGTACCGGAGAAAAACCAAAAAAAACAAAAACAAAAACATTTTAAGCCAGAAGGCCTTCTTTATTCCTCCCAACTTCAAGTGACAACAGGGTACAGGAAAAAAAGGTTTAGGCGGGTTTCTTCCGATTTTTCACAGATTGTATCTTTAACAAGAAATATAAGGGTATTTGTGTCTGCACTTTAGTGTGGACAGTTTTCTACTTTGGAGTAAATTTCAGGCAGGACACAACAAGGCTGCCTTCAAGGGCACTTTGGATGCAGTCCCGGGGAGAGGAGGCAGGTCGGCATCAGAACTCGGCCCCGGGCCCAGGCACCATTACAGTTCTGAGCAAGAAATACTGGGCAAACACAGTTCCCTCGGGCAGGTGAGCGAGACAGGGACCTCTGAGAGGGCCACAGGCAGGCACAGGTGACAATGATGACGATGAGAGCAGCAACCGTAACCAGCACTCAGTACACACCACGCGCTGCGCCAGGAGGCGCACGCACATGCTATTTGTCACCCAGTGCAGTGGACCCAGGAGGTGGGGATTATTCTCACACCTAATCCACACAGGAGGAAAGTGATGCTCGGAAAGCTATGGAACTCATCGAGTGCTACAGAGCTACATGAGGGATCCGGGGTCGGACCCCAGGCGTCTGTGACACTGCAGCCTGTGCCGTGACTGCCCCCGTTTCCTGCCTCGAGGGGAAGGGGCAGATCTTCCCCTTCTACCCCTTTCTGCTTTCTCCTTTCCGCTCGCCCTTCTCCACCTTCCACTTCCGGCACTGTGAGGAGAGAACACTCTTGCTGCTGGCCTTGCAGCAAAACAGCAAAGAGGGCAACTCAAGTCCTCTTCTCTTGGGTGCCCCCTCCTGCCCTGGCCCCGGAATGCAGGCCAACACTGCCCCTCCATAGGCAGGCATCCACCGTGCACCGGTACCAGCTCTGGGGGAGTGGGTTTATTGCCATCAACAAAATATTTCAAGTTTCTTTTTCCTGAAATTATATTTCAAGTAAAAAATCTAATGCTAGGAAACCCTCTGGGAATGGAGGTTCCTTACGGCTGGTCTGATTGACAAGAAACACTCTGCAAATGTGCAGCTCAGACTACACTGAACTGAAAAGACACTCCAGGTTGTTCAAGCTGATTAGAGAACAGATTCATCTACAACACCTTCCCTCCATGCACACTTCTTTGGCAATATAGGGAACTGAACCTGGGACCTTTGCACTGAACAACAGCCCCTGCCCCTTCTCCCTCCACTCCCTCCCCAGCTCGCTCTCTTTCTTTCTTTCTTCTTTCTCTTCTTCCTTCCTTCCTTCCTCCCTCTCTCTCTCTTTCTTTCTCTCATGAGAGAAGGTCTAAGTCAGTAAGTTGCCCAAGCTGGGCTCAAACTTGTGATCTCCCTGCCTCATTTCCCAGTGTGCTGGGATTGCAGGCACGCACACTGCTCCAGGCTACCTCCCTTCTTCTTCACTAAAAGGACTTAGGTCAAATTAATACAGTGGTGCCTCAGTTCACAAACTCAATTCTCTCCACGATTCCGGTCACAAACGGAACTGGATGAGAACCGAATCAAATTTCCCCGTGAGGTCCACATTGAACCTCACCATTGAATTTGATTCCGTTCTTGCAACTCGGCTTGTGACTAGAATTGTGGAACAAATCAAGGTTGTGAATGGAGGCACCACCCACTGTATCACCTTTACTGCTCAACAGCTGTGAGGGAGAGCTGCACACTCCCCCGCAGACCCTAACTAACTAGCTGTGTTTCGCCCACGGTTGGTCAAGCCTTTGGTTTTATGGCACAGATGCCTGCTCAGGTAAATCGCCCTGCTGGAGACCAGTGCAGTACTCACGCCAAGGTTTTGTGGTAGTCGATGGTGTTGGTCACCCCAAGGAATTTCTGCACTGTGTCCATCACTTTGGCAGGTTCTGTTCGCAGCAGTTTGCCATCCAGGACCAGAATCTAGAAAGAAGGAAAAGGAGAAGGGCAGCCTGGACTTGCTTCCCCCCTGGTGGCAGGCAGGGTCAGCAGCCAGAGCAGCAGGAAGGGGCCTGGCTGTAAATGTGGGGCCTGGTGCTCTCCAGAATCGGCTTCCTGCTTTACCTCCGGACGGCAGGGATCCATGCCGAGACTCTGTGCTCTGTGGTCTAACTCCCTGGGCTCCGTCCCGTGTCATCCCTCAACACCCCTGCTCCAGCCCTCGCCGAGCTTCCAGCCCGCACCCCACACCTGCTCCCGACTTCAAAGGGTTTCTCCACAGACCTCCTGGGATCTGCCCCTGCCCCTTCCCTGTGCCCCCGTCCCCATGTTGGCTGCCCCCGGGGTTTCTGCAGCCCTCGGGCCAAGCATGCCCTCCTGGGGCCAGCAGCCTACCTGGTTGGCATGGAAGGCGTTGAGCCAGCGCTCGATGTGGGTGGCATACCAGCCGGGGACCAGGCAGCGGCTCTGCAGGGCACGCAGCTTCGAGGACGCATCCGGGCCGGCTGTGATCACCTCGTGGAAGGTGTACTTCAGGGCCACAGGGTCATCATGGGCGCGCTGGTGCTGGGGAGGGGAGCGGTGGGCATGGCACACGGGGAACAAAGGAGCGCCCACTTGCTGTGGGACCACAGCCCATGAAGTGCAGGGGACCCTGGGCCAGAGGCCAGCCCTGTGCTCCAGTCCTGGCTGGACTGCTGTGAGGATGCAGGGAGCCACTGGCCCCACAGTTCCAATGTCCCCGTCTCTGCAGGCTGGGAGTCGGACTGGACCGAGCTCTCCCTGTACTGGTCACTCGCACACCACTACCAAGGTGCCTGCCTGGCCGGGAGACTAGTGCACGCTGATGTCAACCTCGTTTCTTTCACACTAACTCGCCTTTCCATATCAATTCATGTGGAGAAAACACGACACTTCCCTAAACAGACGACCAGAATCAGCTGCCACAGACAGAAGGCAACTACCAGTAAATACAATAAAAATCAGGAACTTTCCCAAACACCACAAAACGTCCACCCTAGGCCCCAACCCCCAAACGCACACTCTTTGTTAGAAATAGGGCTTCGCTGTCTTAGAAATGGCACAGGTGCCCCTTGCCCCAAACCGGGCATTCTCCTTTATGGGACTCGGACAGACTGGAGAACACTGTAAAGGGAGAAACGCCGAGTGTGAATCACAGAAAGTCATGCCGTGGGCCATCAGCATCCGCAGGATTCTCAAAGTCCACACCCGGGCTGGGCACAGTGGTACACGCCTATAATCCCCCTCTGGGTGGCTGAGGCTGGGGTAGGAGGATCCCAAGTTCAAGACTAGGGCCGGGGATACAGCTCAGTGGCACAGCACCTGCCTGACAAGCTCGAGGCCCTGAGTTGGATTCCTGGTACCAAAACAAAAACAAAGTAAAACAAGTTCAAGCTCAGCCTGAGCAATTTAGTGACTTACCAAAAAAAAAAATAAAAATAAAAAAATAAATTAAATAAATAAATAAATAAATAAATAAATAAAATTAGAAAGGCACAGTGGGTGTAGCTCAGTATGAAGGCCCTGGGTTTGAGCTCCATGCCAGGAAAAAAAAAAAATCACCCAGAGTGTGGGGAACCCCCGCTAAGGTGTATGATGTCCCTCCCAGGCCGACTCCTGGGCCCCACTGAGGGACACCACGGCACAGGGCAGGGAGGCCTCAGCCTTCTGACCTCCCTTCCAAGACAGGCAGCCACCCTCCTCTCCTGCCAGCTCCCTCCTGCGTCTCCGGGTAGGACTGGCATTCCTGTCTTCTTGCCTCCCTAACCTGCCTTGACCATGGACAGCAGAAAGAACAGGCCTCAGAGTCAGAAGACCTGGATCCAAAGCCCACACACGAAAGTAGCCGAATCTCGGGTCTCTCACACACACCCTCTGCCTAAGCTCCAGGGAGGGCCCGAAGTTGGGCACTGTCACTAGTTCAGAGCAGGGGATGCTGAAGCCCCTCTTTGGCCCCATGAAATCAGCCGGCATGCACGTGGCAGAACACGGAGCGGAGCAGCCTATAGGGTTCTGGATCTCCTACAAAGACGAAGCCCACGGAGAAATGGACACTAGGACCTGAGCAAGACCTGGGGAACAAAAGGAAGGGACGGCTTCCTCTCAGACTCGGGTGGGGCAAGGGTCCCAAGGGACAGGAGCAAGGAGGACTGCACTTGCTGGCCCTGTGGGGGACACTGAAGCCCCAAGCACCCACACACCCAAATGCAGAGGCTCAAAGGGCGGCAGCGAGCTCCAGAAAGTGGCCTGGTGAAAAAAGGCCTTCCCAGCCAGCACAGCTGACGCCGTCCCACTCACCACACACTATGGCCCAGGTGTCCCCAACACCAAGAGCAGGCCCAGCCCACTGGCCGGACAAGGGTGGTCAGGATGCCGGCCTTAGGTGCAAGAGTCACTTCTGAATCAAAGCACATGGCAGCGTGGCCTAGGAGGACTGGCAGGCCCAAGGGACTCAGGCCCAGGAGCCTACAACAGGCTGCCAGCATCCCTGTGAGCACAGTGGGCTGCACTCAGAAGAAATTAAATCATGCCAGCGTGGCGGCACACACCTGTAATCCCAGCACCTGGGAGGCTGAGGCAGAAGGATCACCACAAGTTCGAGGCCAGCATGGGCCACACAGTGAGTGGAAGGCCAGCCTGAACTATATAGCGAGATGTTGTCTCAAAAGAAAACCGAAACAACAAGAAGAAACAACAAGAAAGAAAGAGAAATTAAATCGGGTCACAGAAACAGAGGCAAGTTCTGGCCCTCATTCACCTCAGCAGGGACGAGGATCCATCCCTCGAGTGTGCCAGGCGTTGGTGCCCCCCACTCAGGCCGGCAGGTTCTGTGCCATGGCCTCCTCCAAGTTCCCACTTCTGCCCACGCTGTGGCCCGAGGAGGAGAAGCTACAGTCAGCATGCGCCCAGACTCCGAAGCCAAGCTGCCCCCAGGTCTCCAGGCCTCCACCTCCTGCGGAGGTCAGGATCATGGGCAGGACCCCACACAAAGCTAGGGCTGAGCGGTGGCTGGCACTGCGTATCTGTGCCAGGCTGGCCGTGCCAGGGAGGCAGGACTCACCTGTCACCTCACTCCAGGTACCTGGCTCAGAACCGGCCCGAGCAGGTGCTTCTTGGCACTGCTGAGTGACTGAGTGTCAGACAGAGGCAGCACCCTGCATTCAGCCCACCGCCACTCACCTGGTACCAAGAGTAGGCCCGGTCTGCGGGGCTGATGAGGATGGTGAGGATCTTGGCCTTGGGCAACAGGGCAGCTGCCCGCCGGGGCGCCACTTCAGAATCAAAGTAGTTGGCGCTCTTCTCAAAGTAGAAGTCGGAGGTGGTGTTGGAGGGGATGGGGAAGAACTCCATGTACCTGCGGGAGCCAAAGTGGGACTCTGGGGTGACACACAGGAGGAAGGGACCCCTGGATGCTGTGGGGGTGGGCCGCGCTTCCTCAGAAAGCAGCAGGCAGGCTGCTCCAGCTGAACCAGGACCCCCTCCAGCAGCACCTAGGGAATGGCCACTTGGCCAACCGCTCCTCCCAATTCATTCCTTCCCAGTGGAGGCTGTGGGGTCGGGGGGTGGTGGTCTAAGACTCAAGGTCTGATGTGGGTTGCGGGGGTGGGGGTGGGGCATGGAGGAGGGTAGTTTCCAGCCGAAACTCAGATCCCACCAGTCTGATGCTCTGCACCTAAGCCGACAAGCCTAGCTCTGCCGCTAGGGGGCGAGTCCGAGCTCAGCAGCGGTCTGAGCCCAGGAGGGCCAGCTGCGGCGAAGCGCCCTCTGCCGCCTTACAGGGCAGGCTTGCTCTCCTCCCGCAAAGGCCCTCCAGTCCTGGGCTGTGGACCTGGAGACAAAGGGGAGGGTCGCCTTCTGCCACACACGCCCCCCTCCCCACCTGCTGCGGGTGAGAGCACAGCTTTCCAAATCATGTTTCATACCCTGCCCGAGTATCGACCTCCTACACCAAGGACCACTCTGAAAATGAAATGAACCCTACAGACCCTCTCCAGGGGCCCCGACTCCTAAAAAGCCAGGATACAACTTTGAGGACTCGTGGGAAGCAGAGGGTGCCCGAATTAAGAGTGTAACAACTCTGCCCGTGAAACTGAGCATCTCCACAGTAGTCCCAAGGGCCCTTCAAGAGTCCTCAGGGGCTTGACAGGTCTCCACACCTCCCTACAAAATCAGAATCTTGGGGACAGTGCCAAGGAGTCACCCTCTCTCCTTTTTCTAAAGCTTTTCTGTTTGTAATACCTGAGAAAGCTCAAAAAGCAAAAGCTTCACTTGGCAAGCCTGTAGCAAAGCTCAACTTCTTTATCTTATCTGATATAAATATTCACACTTCGCTATACACCTGCTAATGTACTACAGGTGTGTGCTGCCCCGGGCTCTGCTGAAGATGCTAAGTGTACGGCTTTGCCCTTGCGCTGTATTACCTTGTGGAATCCAGAAAACGCCGGCCTCCAACATCTCTGCCCCCAAGAGGTTTTAGGTAAGAGACCAGACATGTCAGATAATAGAGAATGGTGGATATTTGTATGGATGGACAGGCAAGATAGACAGATGGGTAGAGAAATGATAGGTAAATAAGAGAAATGCACACAGAGAAATACAAAAAAAAAAAAGCCAAAATTCCTCCACCTAGATAACCTGTTAATGTAACCATAATAAATACGGCTAACACACGTACATACAAAGTTTTAAAAGGTAATAGTAGGAAGGATGTGAATTGAAAAACTAGAGGGTAAAACAATGCATGCTGCCTCCACTAACACCACAAGTAACTGCTGTGGAAGGTTCTGGTGAAAAGCCGCATCCGTGAGCACCTGCCCAGGTGAGCCCTGAAGGCCGGCCAGCACGTCAGAAGAGTACACAAGGACACCCTGTTTCCGCAGCTGGCCACACACAATGGGAAGGGCCAGTTCTTGGTCAGCAGACACACTTGGACATCAGCCCTGCTCTGTCACCAGCAGACCTTGGGACCTTAGGGACTCCTCCCTCCCCTCCTATAGGAGGCAGGATGCTTCTGTGCAAGCAAGGGAAGGGCTACCCGCCCCAACACACCTCTGTAGTCTGTGACCCGGGCGGCAGTGCAGAGGGGCAAAGGGCTTCCTCATTCACTGTCGCGTCTGTGACAACATCCTCCCACCATGATTCAAGGGTCACTGCTCCTTGTCCCTGTTTACAGGAACTTTAGCTGTGTGTGAGCAAGCACCAGCTGCTTCCTGCTGTGTCCACAGTGACCTCCCCATGTGGCTCCACGATGGCCTTCCTGTCCTTTTGTGAACAGAGACCCACTCACCAGTCGATGCCTTTGTGATAGTTGTGGCCATTAAAAAACTGGATCTCCTCAAAGGTCTCTGAGCTGGGGTAGTTGCTGCTTAGGTCCGGATGCATCCCCAGGAATAAGTAGAGAGCTGTGGTGCCTGGAGGAGGGGAGGCACTGAGGACCACACCCCACCCCTGAACAAAAAGACCGAGTTTGGGTTCTGGGCCTGGCTCCCGTATTCACTGGGAAGTCCCCGGAAAGTCCTTCCCCTTCTCTGGGTCTTAGTTTCCTCATTTGTACGGTAAAGAAACTGTGCCAAATCTGGGATGGTAAGTACAGCGCTTCCCTGTGGACACTACAGCTCCTGTACCCCCTGCAGACATCACTAATCCTTACAGCATTCTTCATCACTACATAGGTGTGACCTCAGAATCCTCCTTATCACTGCACTCTGACAATCATGTCCAACTGACTGTGGTCTCTGGTGAATTTCAAAGCTGGAGGCTTCTGCTGGTCCTTTCCAGAACTAGGCCTCTGCCCACTCTCCTGCTTGGGCGCAGCCCAGGAAAAAGAAGGCTCCAACCCTCCCTCTGTCAATGTGACATTACTGAAGAGCCAAATGCTAGCTCTAGTGTCTTCTCTTCTGGCTCCCCAGTTCCTCAGGGAGATCTTTTGTCTACTCCCTGTGGTGTGACTCTGGTTTATATACTACCATGAGAATACCCAGAAGAGAAAAGAAGGCTGCAGAGTTTGGTGATTAAGAGTATCAGCTTTGGGCCGGGGATATAGCTCAGTGGTGTAAGCACCTGCCTGGCAAGCACAAGGTGCTGAGCTTGATTCCCAGTACCAAAAAAAAAAAAAGAGTATCAGCTTTGAAGTCACAGAAACCAAGTCTCAAGACCTAGAACTGGCATTTCCTAGCTAAATGTGCTATGGGAAGTCACTCACTTCTCTGAGCCTTGAGTTTCCTGTCTGTAAAACAGGAGTAGCCATCTATGCCATACAGTGTCATGTGGATGGCAAGTGCTTAGCCATCACACGACTACTTCTCCATCCTGCACCTCTGGCAGGCGTGATTAATGGATTACAATCTGCTCTGCATTAAACCAGTTTTGCCTGGGACAACTTGAACTTGCAGAGCAGCTGATCTGGGCTTCTTTCTCTGCCCACACTCAGAGACTCCCAGGAGGACACAGAGAATGCTCCCTGGGGCTGTGATCAGACAACCACAAGAATCCCACGCTCACTCTCTACTCTCTTCACACCTCCACACAGGCAATTCCTCTTCACCGCATTCTACTCCCACTTTCGGGAGCCGGAGGGGTGGGGGAACAGGACCATGGCTAGGTGGTCTCCATTATCCCACAGAGACAGCAGGGAGTAAGGAGGGCTGGGCTGAGGGTGGAGAGACCTGCCTGTTTTCTGAGGGCCAATAATGAGGAGCTTTGGGAAGCGGTCACATGTCTTCTCCTTGGACCAGATGTCTTTGTGGCGTTTGTCCTCACAGGGGTCCTAAAACCAACAGTGGAAGGAATGTGAGGGAGGCCCAAGAACTCAGTGAGTGGACTCCACTGCACGTGGGCAGTGAGCTCTTCTAGCCCCAACTGCCCGACAGAACACCTCCACATGTCCTTGCCACCTCCCGCCTTCGGACACTGAGCGTGACAGGAGGGACCACTTCTGGTGAGTCTCGGGTCCCCAACAGACCCTGGCAAAATGCCCAGCTGCGTGCTTGGCACATGTTAGGAATTCGCAAGCCCTTGTTAAATTGAACTGGACAAACAGTGTCTGGACCAAGGGTCAGAAAACTTTTCCTACAAACTTTGGTGAATGTTCAGTAAACATTGCAGCCTTTCGATTCTGCGGGGCTTCTGCTGCTTCCAGGAATATGCATGGCCATGTGCCCGTAAAACTTTTTTGCACAAACAGACCACAGGCTGGATTTGGCCCATGAGTCATGCTTTGTGAACCCTTGGTCTTGACTACGAGACACCACCGACTCCTGCTCCTGTTTCCAATTTTTAACAGCTCCCAGGAGTAGACTTTCCCGAGAACTGCCTCCCTAAACCCAGCGACAGTTCCCCCGCAGCGGCCCAGAATTAAGGGGGCCTAAGACCTTATCTAAGAGACTACACAGCCTTTCTAATGTCTTTTTTCCCCCATTTTGTTTTGCCTTTGAGACAGGGTCTCACTAGGTAGCTCAACAGGCCCTATACCATGATTACTCCTGCCTCCGCTTCCCAAGTGCTGGGATGAAATGATTTTTCCAGGGGTGCATATAAGTGTACATGCACGCAAGCCTGAGTGGGGAGGTATGTCTGTATGTACAGGAGCACGTGTGTGTGCTAGGAGCAAGTGTGCCCATGCTAGCAAGCAAACAGACACCTGAGTTTTCATTTGAGAGAGTGCGTGAGGTCAAGCACATGCCTATAAGTGGAGGGCGTTCCATCCCTGCAGCAAGGTGCTGGCTGCCATGTCCCTACCTGCCAGAGGGGGTCCTTCTCTTCGGAGAAGATCTGGAAGTACTTCTGGGCCAGCTGCACGGGCGGCAGGGTCTGCAGCCGCAGGTTGGTCCAGGAGTGCAGGAAGCGCACCAGGTGCTTGAAGGTGTACAGGCCCAGGCGGTCATTCCCATAGTTGGACAGGTGCGTCATAAAGATGCTGATCTGCCCCAGGGAAGGGGAAGAGGGAGAGGGAAGCAACAGTTGGGTCAGCTTCTGAGCCTTCACCCCACCTTCCAGCCCTGCCTCAGTTTGCGGGGCCACACAATAACCAGGGCAACATACACTGGGGTCATCACAAACTTGCTGCATGGCGATGGCCTGAACACAATCAGGATGACCCAGGTCTAACTGACCCCCAATAGTACAACCCCACGGTGAAAGGCTGGTTGATGCAGGAGCTATTTGTGCTTTATTTTTGCCCCCGGAGGGAGCAAGTGTGTAGGGAAAGAAAGGCGCACTCAGCCCATAAAGCTGAATAATAACAACCACTTGACGTTTACCTAATATTATTAAAGTATGGATAATTGCTTCCATTTACAGATAAGGAGAGGGCCAGACGGCTCAAGTAGAATCCTGTTCGTGTGTGTTGAGTGTGGGTGTATACGTACGCACACATGCATGAAGACTGGAAAGAGAACATGCACAAAATAAAGACAAAGAAAGCTCTGATTCTCTAGTCCAGATCTTGAGGTAGAGGGACAGTGCCAGTACTGGACAGCAGGTCCTTCGACTCCCAGGCCCCCTGCTGGTCTCCCTGCCCAGCCCGGGCTGCCCAGCAGCGCTCCTCATGCCAGCTGCGGAGAACTCACGGGATTGAGGAGCACTGTGAGGAAGAGCTCGCCCCCGTTGATGATCTTGTCCAGTTCGCTGGAGCCACCAGGGTACTCGTTGTAGAAGATAGTGTGTGTGAAGAGGCCACACGTCTGCCTCGGGAGGACCTGGGAGATGGAGAGAGGGGTTGTGGCATCTCCAGGCGTGGACAGCGAAGGTTGTGCCTCAGGAGAAGGGCCAGGGCATTTCTTCAGAAAGAGGATTTCCTACAGCCCCCACATTAGAAGTCCCTGCTCCGAGTCTCAGCAACCTGCAAAATCTGCCCCATCTGGCAAATCACATGCCCTTGCTGTTTAATACTACACAGCTCTCTCTGCACAACATAAGCAGGCCCAGAGGAACACGGTCCGACTGTTTCTGGAAACCTGGATCATTTGTGGCAAGGGTCCTTGGCCCCCCAAGGTGGCTGTGCAGGCCCTTGACATGAGAGCTTTGCCTGGGCACACTCATGGACACGCACCAGCCTGGCTGTTTACTGTCTGTCTCCCAGCGGGAAACCAAGCACTGGGGAAGCACAGCACAGGCCTGCCTTGTCAGGATCTTCTTCCTAGAGTTCACGTGAGCCCCCGGTATAGAGCGGTGGGTGGGAGATGGAGAGATAAATATATAAAGCCTGTCTTCCCACAGCTGCCCTACTGCTATGGCTTTAAGGTAGGTGTCCCCCAAAAGCCTCATGTGCTCATGGGTGGGTGTGACTGGATTATGTGTATGGGATGCTGGATCAGTTTACTGACTGGTTTAGCATGTTCTGGGCGTGGGTGATGGATTTACTGAAGACAGAAGACCCACCTTGGGTGTGGGGGGCACCAACAAACAGGCTTGTAGCCTGGACGGAATAAAAAGGGAAAGAGGGAAGGGCCACTGCGTCCTGCCTGCCACGCCACAGACTTTTTCTCCTCTGCCGCCGCCCGGCCTTGGAGCCAGCTGACTGTGGACTGAACCCCTATAAACAGTGAGCCACATACACCTTTCCTCCTGGGTATTCTGCCCCAGCAACAAGAAAGCAACTAAGACAGCCATCTTGACTGATGGTAACTTATCCTTCCAGGCCAAACACCCTGTAGTCATCTTTGACCCCTCTCCTTCTTCCACACCCTACTCCCAGTGTGTCAGCAGGTCCTCCTGGCTCTGACTTCTAACAAGTCCAGCATATGATTATGTTCCAATTTTGCACCCTGGTTTAAGCCCCTACCACCTCTCCTCTGGAAGACTCCAGTGGCCTCCCAACTAGCCTGCCAGCTTCCGGCTTTGTCCCCTACACCCTGCTCCATACAACAGGCTAAATGATAAAACCCTTTTAAGATATGAGCTACGCTCCACTCAAAACCTCCCCCATCTCTGCCTAAAAGCTGAGTCCATCAATGGCCAGCCTCCCATGGCCCTTCCATCTGGCCCACCCCTCCTCCCACTTCCTCTCCGACCTGTCCCTCACTCAGCCCCTCCATCCACACTGGCTCCTTCTTGCTTCTCAAACCCATCACAAGTCTGCCTCCGGGCCTTTGCACTTGCTATTTTCTCTGCCTTAACTGCCCTTCCACAGAGAGTAGCATGACTAACCTGAGGAAGGCCTTCTCTACTCTCTCCTCCCTTCTTCATTCTTTCCAAGGCAGTTATCACCACGTGACCCTGATACACTTTACGCATTCTTAAGTACTGTATATTGTCTGTCTCCTGCCACTTGAATGTCAGGTCTACAAAGCCAAGAATTTTCCTTAGTTTTTCGCCCTTCTGCATGCCTGTTGCCTAAAAAAGGGGCAGACGTTGGTGAAGCTCAAGGGAAGGTCTTAGATGAGCAGATAAGTCTAAGAGACCTGCCCTATGTCTTCACCAGAGCTCCTCTGAAGAATGTTGCCCCCCAATCCTGTCATAAGGCTAGGAAGGAGCTCACGGAAGGGTCCAGACTTGGGGCCCGCCTTCCCCAGAGCCTCAGAGGTCGGAGTGGCAGAGGAACCTGCTCCACCCCCATCCCCACCCCAGGGACAGCATGAGCCTGCACCCCCACCCTGGGCTCGGGGCTACTTGCCATGATGCCGTTGTGGATGAAGCCACGGCGGTAGCGGGCCGGCTTCAGGTGTGGGTACTCCTCCGTGCTGGTCACGCGGATGCTCCACACCTGCTTCCACGCCTCGTACAGCTGCACGTGCACGGGGTACACGCCCGAGTGGTGGGGCGCCACAGCATACCCCATGTCTGTGGGGATGCCATGCTCCTGGGGAGAGGACAGCCAGGCAACGGTGAGCCCTCCCCCCGGGCCGCGTTCCCCGTTTGTAGAATACGAGAGAAAAGTCAGAGGCTACAACAGCGGGGCAGCTGGCCCAAGCCCTCATGGGGCGGATGGGGAAGTCGAGGCCCCAAATCCTAGACCGAGTGACTGGCAGCAGCGATGGGACTGGAGGCCAGGCCTCCTAACTTTGGGCCCCGTGTGTGCCTTCCAGCTCAGGGAGGCACGCGCTGCATCGTGAGGGACAAGGACAGGGCTCTTCCTGCCTCCGCTTCCCTCCAATTAGCAGGTGAACCCAGGCTCACCTACCCGCTCCCACCGACCCCCTCACATCTCACTTTCTGGAGCCCCCAGCCCAGCCTGCAGGCGAGAGCTCGTGCCCAGGAAACACAAGGCTCTAAGTCCTCATGTGACCTCCTGGGCCTCAGCTTCGTGTCTACAGATGGGGCTGCTGCCTTGAGACTTCCAGCAGACAGGGGCTACAAACGCAGCTCACCCCAGGCCACCATCAAGCTGAGCTGCAAAAGCAGCAAGAGACCAGCTGCTCAGACACGCCCCAGCCCAGCCCCTGGCCCAGCGGCTCTGTTCTGTAGGGAATCTTACTCACGACAGCGAACTTCTTGTTCAGGGCCATCTGTTCAGCCAGCACCGACTGGTTGTGGAAGAGGTGGGGCTGCATGTGGCTCCACATGTGGGGGAACCACCAGAACTCCTTCACATACGACAGCAACAGGTCATCGCCCGCATCTTCGGCATCTGTACCTGCAGCCCGCACAGACATTCAGCCCGGCCAGGGAGGCCCTGCACCCTGCCTGGCCCAGAGACCGAGTGCACGGCCATGGCCTGCCCAGGAGCTTCCTGGACGTTATCTGAGCTCTAGTGCAGGAGGAAGCAAGAGCCCGCTTGAGTCTGGGTTGCAGTCTGGAATGTGCCCTTGGATCAGTGAGTGACCCTGGCCAAGACACTGTCCTCCCTGGGCCTTGCTTGGGGTGCATACCAACCTCAGGGTTTCCTCTAGCCTATGCCTGCTAGGATCCTAGTCCAGGATCCACACTGGGTCACTGCCTTGTGTCTCCTGGTCTGCAGAGGCTCTTTACGATGTGCAGGACGCCATAGACAGGATCCCTCCATCCCACATGTATTACTGTAACCGCCCGATGTGCTATGGGTTAAGGCTATAGCAACGATGCAGAGGGACAACGAGCATCACCCTACTTGGCTTTGGGGCTACTGCACATTTCCCCTCCATTCTGACTGCTGGTTTTGCCTGCAGTACAAGAGAGGCTGTCCTCATGGTGGCCCAGGCAGAAGGCAGCATGAGGGAACTGTCACTGCAAATGACTAGTTCCACAGTCCCTCTTCCCTGGTCCCGCAAGGGCCACGGGAAGAAATGGAGAGAACCCAAACAGGAAGGAAAGCATGACCAGTGACCTACAGCCTCAGCCTCCACCCTTCGGAGCCTAAGCAAACCCAGGACGCACACTGTCCCGGGGTAGGTGCAGTGATAAGGAGTTTTCATTTTCTATGCTATGTGGTTCTGGAATGTTATCAAAATTCAATCGAATTCTCTTCCAAGCAGGAAAAATAATATTACACAGTGGGAGTGAGGGGGAGACAAGAGAGTAGACACCCCATCGAAGACTGAAATGCAGGGGGAAGTGTTGTCATTAGCCCAAACCAGCTCCCCAGGGGCTGTGACTGCTTTTGTTGGCTACTGGCTCTGGGGACAGTGGGGTCAATCTGCCCACAGTGTGGGCCGCCAAGCAAACTGCTGCCCTCATGGCATAGCACCCTGAGGATGGAGGCGTGAAGAAGGCCTGGCAGCTGATGGCGGGAACAGGGCCACTTACCTGTATGGAAGAATTTCCCTGAGTAGCCCAGATTGAAGGTGAAGTTTGGGATGTGTGTGCGTAGCTCGTTCTGTGTGTCAAACAGGGCCTGGGAGAGGCAGAAGAGAAAAGCAGGTCTGAGGAAATGCCAGGAGCTCTGCTTCGCCCCCTGAGGGCCCAAGAAGTGGTCTGCATCAGCAGAACCAGCTGCAAAGCTTGCAGGCTCAATGGAAAATGAAAATGTGTGGGGTCGGGGTGTGACTCTATGGTAGAGGTCTTGCCTGGCACAGAAGCCATGGGACCCATCCCCAGCACTAAGAGAAAGAAAATTCAGGACCCTTTAAAAGTTACGAAGAAGGCCAAGAGCACGTGTGCCCACAGAGGCTGCCGCGTGCACACCTGGGAGCCCAAGCCCATGGCGTGAGAAGACCTGCACTCCAGTGAGCTCCGCTGCAGGCCTTGGAAGCTTCACCATTTCTCTGAGCCTCCCTCCCCAGCTATCAAATAGGCCAGATAATCTCTCTCCCAAAGGGACTGTGGGGAGCATGATGTGAGATACTGCACGTAACACTGCCTGACACCTGGTGAGGGATGAGAGATGGTAGCTGTAGTGGTCACTGTCACTGTGAGCCCTGCGTCTTCGCACGAAGGGTTTCTCCTCCTCAGTGGGACGCAAGCCTGATGATGTGAAGGGATCATGACTTTTCCAAGGATGTGCTACAGCTTAGTACCACGCTGTCCCCATGCATGGCACACCCACCACTTTCCGAGCCATGAAGGGACGCTGACCCCACTGGCACACGTAGCTGGACGCCAGGGTCCGCAGGTTAGGGGCTCCTGGGGAACTCACAACCACCTCAGCACCCTGACCCTCCCAGGGCTGGCTGTTGTCATGGCGTCTGACCAAGCCCAAGTCCTGCCTGGTAAGCCTGAGTGCTCAAGGGGTACGGCCTTGGCAAGACACTTCACCTCTGAACCTCGGTCCCCTCTGTAAAATGGCATTCACATCCAGGCGTGGTGGTGCACGCCTATAATCCCAGCACTTGGGAGGCTGAGGCAGGAGGACTGCCCCAAGTTCGAGACCAGCCTCAGCTACAAAGTGAGCTCAAGGACAGCCTGAACTGCATAGCGAGACCCTGCCTCAAAAAGAACCCCCCTGCCAAAAAAAAAAAAAAGCATTCATGACAACACCTACCTCACCCAGCCACGGGGAGGACCAAAGGCGGTGGTGCAGACAGTTGAGCAGAGCCTGGCACTCAATGGCCCTGAACGAGCAGCTTCGGGTGGTATTATGCAAACTGTGCTGCACACACCCAGGAGGTGACATGCATGTCCCTAACAGAAGAGCACAGCTGTGGTCTGTGCTTGGGATTAAAGGGGGAAATGCTGCGTCCTCTCTGACTCACAGGATGGTTAAGAAGGAGACCCTGCCCTGCCAGAGAAGAGCTCTGCAAACTGCACTCAGCTGAGCGCACAGAAGAGGGCGCCCGGTGTGTGTTCTTCTACAGGAACAGCGCTCTTACCCAGCCTCTAGCTTTAGAAATGGGGAAAATAAGAAACGAAGCAGGCATCGTGGGCTCACAGGGGAATAAAGTGGCGCCCTTGTGGGCTCAGCCTGGACCACAGTCTCGCAGAGATTCCACTTGCACAGGCAGCAAGGGCCCGGGTCCAGCAGGACACAGCAAGGCCAGGCCACCTAAGGGGCGTCCTAAGCAAGCAACGGCGTGATCTAGTCTGCTAGAGAGAGGCTGGTCTCAGCACAGTTTCGCTTAGATGGGAGGCCTGACTGGAGTCATCTCAAACCTTCTTTCAGTAGGTGAGCCCTTGAGGAAATGCAAGTTCAGGAGGAAGCATGACATGTAAAAGCAGATGTGGCCAGCTGTGTGGGCAGCCCGGAAGGTAGAACCTGGATGAACAGACTCTGCATCCACACCGCAGACAGCCTGCGACCCCTCTGTGAAACCCCGGGGCTTCAGGAAACAGCCCCAGATCCTCACATCACCCCATCTTACAGCTGAGGCTCGGTGACGGGATGGGACCCCATGGGTCACCTTGCTGACGAGGGTCACGTTAGGACTCAACTCGGGGAGACAGCACCGCACCGACAGGCCTGCGCTGCCCGGGGAGAGAAGCAGCCCTTTCATAAGCCTCTTTCTAAAGCCGCCTGCGTGCATCAAAGAGAAGTCTTGGGTTGGCGCTAATATGTCTCTAACACTCGCTAATCTCCTGTAAGAGAGGACACCCGGGCAGCAGGCACCAGTGTCGCTCGAGAATTTAATCCCCTGTTTTGTTTTCATTGGATTTATTGTTGTGGTTGCCCCTCTGTTCGTGGCAACCATACTGATTCCCATTCCACGAGGATGCTGTGTTCCTTACAAACAGCTTGGTAATAATGAATAGATGAAGACCGTTTTAAAGATTGCTCAGGGGTCTTCCTTTGCAGCTTCTCTTTCTTGGTGATCATTCATTTCCATGTGTGTAAGATCTTGTGGCTCACAAAGTGCTTCTACATACAGTTTTGTTTGGTAAACACTTTCTGGATTCAACACATGCATTACACCATCTATAGATACCTCAGCTAAAACATGCCCCATGTGTGGTTTAAGTGCATTTTCGTTTTTAAAAGTCTGCAGAAGCTTTGATACTGATATAAAATTTGTGTTTATTTGTTTTATGAGACAGGATCACTTTGTAGTGCAGGGTGGCCTTGAACTCACTAAGTAGCCCTGGATGGCCTCAAACTTGCAGCGATCCACCTGCCTCAGCCTCCCACATGCTGGAATTACAGACGTGCACCATCACATCCAGCTGATATAAATATTTTTAAGAGTTAAATATTATATCTAGATTAAAAGGCAGTTTCCACTTCTAGGTTTAGGTGAGTGGGTGTCCACCTCCATAGATGTACACTCGAACTCCACGCCCCAGGTGTAAAATTCCTCTATATTTAATACTTCAACAAAAATTTAAATAAGCTAAGGACAATGGCACATGCCTGCAATCCCAGCTACTAGGGAAGCTAAGGCAAGAGGAAGATCACAAGTTCAAGGCCACCTGGGCAACTGAGACCCTCTCAAATTTTTTTTTTTTTTTTAGATTGGGTCTTGCTAAATCTCTGAGGTACCCAGGATGGGCCTGAATTTGTAATCCTCCTGCCTCAGCCTCCCATAGTGCTGAGATTACAAATGTTCTTCACAACATCCCAGTTCCCTGTCTCAAAATATAAAAAGTAATGCCAGGCGTAGTGCCTACAATCCCAATACTCAGGAAGCTGAGGCAGGAGGACTGCCACGAGTTCAAGACCAGCCTGGACTACATAGTGAGACCTTATCTCAAAATAAATAAATAGCTGGGCATAGTGGCACATGCCTGTAATCCCAGCACTTGGGAGGCTGAAGCAGGAGGATCATTTTGAGTTCGATGCCAGCCTAAGCTCCGAGTGAGTTCAGAGCAAGACCTTGTCTCAAAAAAAATAAAAAGATAAAAGAAAAAAGGCCTAGAGATATAGCTCAGTGGTAAGAGTACTTTTCTAGCATGTGAGAGGCTCTGGGCTTAATCCCTAGCACTGAACACACACACACACACACAAATTTAAATGACACTTGCTCAGCCAGGCATGGTGGCGCACGCCTGTAATTCCAGCACTCGGGAGGCTGAGGCAGGAGGATTGTTATGAGTTCGAGGCCAGCCTACGCTACAAAGTGAGCTCAACGCTAGCCTGAACTGCATAGGAAGACCTTGTCTCAAAAAGCAAAAACATAAATAAATAAATAAAGAATAAATGACACTTGCTCCTAGTAAGAACACTAACAAAAACTCAGTGTCCAGGGTGGCAGATGAAGCCGTGCTATGAATAACTGACAGCACGGGCATGGCAGACAGGGCAGACCGCAAAGGAACACACACAGCGCTGCAGCCCTGCAGCCAGCCTTACCTTCACGTCCTCCACCTTCATGCGGGTCCCCTCCTTGCCCACAAAGATGTCGTCGATGTCCACCAGGATGTAGCGGTCCAAAGGCAGTGACAGGCGCTTCCCAGTGAGGAAAGCCACAGCGTCCACAAAGACGAGTTTGTGCAGCCAGAAGTTGAGGTTATTGCCGAACAGCACCCGCTGGATGCCATCGTGGAGGCCCAGGTCCTGCACTACCGTGGCGTGCAGCGCGGCGTGCAGCCCGGCGTCGGCTCCCAGGTGCGGGATGGACTCGGACGAGCGTGTCTTGGCCAGCAGCACCGGCTCGTAGGTGGAGTGGTTGGACTGGAACACGGTCCAGTCCTCGCCGGGCAGCACGCCCTTCTCCACCTCGCTGGGCCGCGTCACGTAGAGCAGCGGGGACTTGGGGTTGATGCTGCAGTCCTTCAGGCCCAGGTTCGAGTGCAGGAACAGGGGGAAGCCCTTGAGCTGTGCGCTCAGCAGGCTGTTCTCGTTGGCCTGCAGTCGGCAGGGGACAGGGGAACAGCGCGTGAGATCTGCAACTCCAAGGCACTTGGGATCTTAGATGGGGACCAACACCAGTGATGTCAACAACATCCACAGTATCCGCAGCTCACCATACCCTGCCCCGTCCCACGCGCCCCCACAGTAATGCATCAGCAACTCTGCGTGACTCACTTGCCAAGCCTGGCAGTGGGTCCACATACTTGGCATGCAGGAATGCTGTTAATCCTCCCAGCAACCCCACAATAGAGATGTTATCACACCCATCTTACAGACAAGGAGACTGAGGCTTGGAGAAACTAAGTCAGGCCCAGAAAAGTCTAGTAGTCGAAAGCAGTTGATACCAGGCGGCCTGGTCTTCAGCAAGTTATCTCACCTGTTTGGGCCTCAGCTAACTCTGCTGTAAAATGTGCCCAATCCCAGGACGCACCTCCAGGGTGGAGGAGGATCGAGGTTAGCACTGGTGAAGTGTTCGGCACAGGGCCTGATGCATGAGCGTGTGCACACCCAGTCCTCCCCTCAGCCTTGGGACCCACTTCATAGGCCAGCTTGGAGACCAGGCATAACGGCCCCGAGCACGGCCCTTCAAGGCGCAGTGCACCGCGTTGAAGGCCAGGTGGTCTGGCCCGGCGTCTAGGCCCAAGCACCATGCTCAGTGGCCTGGAGTTTCCAGACGGGCTTTGGCCACAGGGCCTTTTCTGCAGGAAGAATCTCTGTGGGCACACACCATTGCTAGGCCTTGAACCCCTGCAGAGCTACTCTACTGCTCTTTTTAGAAGTCTTGCATGGATACAATGTAGGGATCAATGAGGAAGCCCCTTCTGGAGTGGGAAGCAAAGGCACTGACCCCAGGACCCCAGAGGCCACCCTCTCAGGGTTCCAGCTACCAGACCCTCCCAACCCCGCTTCTTCCAGGGCCTCCTGGCAGCCTGCAGATGACACCCAGCACCCCCGGCTCAGCTTGCCTGGCCTCACGCCCCTGCAGCTCACACCCTCCCTCTTCCTCCAGCCGCTCTCTGCAGAGCACGCCATCGGTCCTTGTTCCCATGCTATTTTCTTTTTTTTTTTTGGTTTTTCTCCGGTACCAGGAACCGAACTCACGACCTTGCGCTTGCCAGGCAGGCGCTTTTGCCGCTGAGCTAAATCCCCAGCCCCTCCCATGCTAATTTCATTCTGTCTTCCTGGCCTAGCAGACTCCTGCTCATTCTTTAAAACCCAACACAAAACCCTCTTCTCTGCACCAGCCTCCGAGGGACCACATTAAATTTTAAGTCAGCTGCAACCTCACCGCAGTGGAGGCAGTGACTGCTCAGGGTCTCTCCCACCAGCCTGCCAGCCCCGGGGCACAGGGGTTACTGTTCCCCGCTCAGGCTACGCTGCTGCCGCCTCTGGAGCTCAGGAGCCTCGACCCCATTGGGAGCCCACAAACAGTTTTGGTTTCATTTTTTGTTTCTCTGATTTCTTCTGCTTTGCAGTGCTAAAGACCAACCCAGGGCCAGGGCCTAGTGCAGGCCAGAGAAGCTCCAGCCCTCCTGCTTGATGACCAACTGGATTTATTTAAAAATAAAAGCGAAATAGCCAGTACCTGGCTCTGTTCATTCCACAGCTACTGTATTCATTGTGTGGGAAAATGCATAAAGCACACAGCAAAATACAGTGAGAAAAACAGTGTGCACAGTGTATACGGTGACAAAAACCAGATGAGGTCCCTGCCCCATGAACCTTAAGAGTAATGCAAGGAGGAGAGATATCCACCAAAAACCACAGGAATGAACATAAAACTTCAGTGTAACACATGCTATGTGGAGGGGTCCACAGCTAACGGCAGCTGCTTCCTGGACACAGTAAGCTGGCTGAGAAGGCCCGCTGGGAAAAAGGGCTTGGAGCTAATGAGTAATTAACTAGCAGACAAAGAGAGACCAGGTTCCCAAAACAGCAAGTGCAAAGGCCCTGTGGTAGGAGAGTGCTCAGTAAGATCAGAGAATACCAAGAAGCCAGCAGAGTGATTAAGAGGAGATGAGGCAGAAAGACCTACAGAAGCCTGGAGGCTTGAAGTGGTAGCAGGAAGCCAGCAAAGACTCTATCAAAGGGTACCAGGTCAGGGCTGACAGGTCCTAGTTTACATGCTGAAAAGATCGATGGGGCTGCTGTGTGGAGAATCAGTGGGTTGGGACAAAGCTAGAGGAGAGAAAGGGCGGGGAATGATTCAGGAGAGGGGTTATGTGCAGGACACCACCGGGCTCGCGGCGGGGTAGTGCACCCGGGCACACTGCCGGGCGGAGTGGGAGTAAAGTCCCAGCGCAGCCCGTGCCCCAGCACCAGGCCACCTGCTCAGCAGGGCGCCTTTCACAAGTCTCCACAAACAGGGTTCCTTCTGACTCCACAAGGCCTCTGCAGGGCCGTGCCTTGTAAACACGGTCAGGAGCCCACACGGAGCCCGCACATAGGAGGGGAACCTGCCAACACCCCCGCCCAGTCGCCTCCTTCCGCGGCAGGCTCCCCGCGAGCCAGGACAGCGCTGGACAAAGGCGGCAACTGCGTGGGCCAAGTCGGGGCCAGAGACACCTCGGGCCCTGTCCATCACCCGCCGAGGCCTGGGAAGGCACGCTGGACCGCAAGCGCTGAGGGATCCCATTTCAAAGTCCCGATCCTGAACTGGCTGCCAGGTGCCGGCGGCTCAGCCAGCCGCCCAGACATCAAGGAAGGGAGAACGCCAAGTCACTGAGAGGTATCCAGTGGGCAGCGGGAGGGGCAGCCAGGGACGGGGCGGAGAGGCCGGGCAGGACAGACTGGAGTGAGGACCGCTCTTCTGATGGGGCGACCCAGGCAGAGGAAGGAAGACCTCTGAGCTGGAATGGGAGTCGAGGGTCCAGCACAGTCTGCGCTGTCAACCAGCTGGGCCCTATGTGGACCGCCCCCTCCCCGCCCTGGGCCTCGGGTCCCCCCAGGCCACTCTGCTCTGTCTTCCATGGCCTTCCACAGCTGGGCTAGAGACAACGAGCCTGGTTATCAAATCATGGCTCAGCAGCGTCATTCTGCTAAATCCTTTTTGGACATCAGGTCCTTATCAGAAAATAACATCTCTACTTCACAAGGTAGCTGCGGAAATTAAACAGGGTAACACCTGCAGGGCAAGGAGCTGGGTGTCTGGCACAGCCCAGGCGCTCACGGCAGAGGGCAAGGAGCCGCACCAGACCTCTGCCAGGCTGTGCTCAGACCCGGCCACCCAGAGTGGCAGGCTGAGGAATGACACTGCCAGGAGCTAGGGCTGTGGATGAGGAGGCCCCAGTTCCCACCCTCCAGGCCTCAAAGGGGTACACACTCCCCAGAGTCACAAGACTGACAAAGCGCTACCTCCACTTTTGCTGCGCGAGGGGATGATCGAATCTCCTGAGAGGCAGGCATGCTGGTGCACCTGTAATTCTAGCACTCTGGAAGCTGAGGCAAGAGGATCACTATGAGTTCAAGGCGCGTCAGGGATACACTGTGAGACCAGCTCAAAAAAACACAACTCCTGTCAGCTGCCACTTACTGAGTGGTTCGGGGGACCAGGCATTGTGCTCAGCGCCTCCCATCCACAGTCTTGTTTCATCTCCAACCAAGCCCAGGGGCGCAGAGCTGTAACTGGCCCCACTTTACGCAGGGGTTTGCACAGCCTGTCCCAGTTCATGCAACTTCTGAGCGTCAGGAAGACCGGACCCAGGGCCTGGAGGGTTACACTCCTGCGGCCACGCTGCCCTGGCATCCAGCTGTGGTGGGAAGGGAGCCGAGCATCTCCAGAGCCCTGCCAGCCACAGGCGATGCTGGGCAAGCGCCGGGCACAGCACCGCAACAAAAGGTGCAGAAAGAGCGGACATGCACCCAGCCACCAGGGGGCACACGTTTCAGCCAAAAAACAAAGGCTCTGCTCAAAACCAAGGGGGTGGGGGCCGCCTTATGCAGCTGGGCAGGAAGGGGACAAAAATCCCTTGGGGAGTGTTCCCTGCCCCTCACTGGGCCTCCCAGCAGAGCTGGGGTCCAAGTTTTCGTACCAGCTGCCCAATATCCCCTTTCACTGCCGCCACCTTCTGCGTGGTCCCTCTGCTGGGGCCTCTGCTGCAGATTCCTATTAAATAAATGGTGCAGCCTCAGGACTCACCACACAGCGGCCTCTGGAGTCAAGCTGTGCACACTCGATTCCCGGAGAACACTCAGAGGCACCTCTCCATGCCTCAGTTTCCTTCCCTCTTAAATCAGGGTGCTACCACCTGCCTCAGAGACTGGCTCATTACCAGGAAGTGAGCTAATTCACATAGCGCATGTAGGCAGCGCACAGTGCACTGAGCAAGCTCTCAATAAATGTCGGTCATTCTGACAATTTTCAGGCCTGGGGCTCTGAACCAAACTTAATGAAGTTCATGGCAGGAAAGGGTACAGAATCCAGGAGGAAAGGGAAAAAAACCAACCAGACAATGGAGAAAGACCGACTTATGCTTCTGTAAAGCCATAAACCAGGCCAGTGCTCCCCAGAGGGTGCTCTGTGAAAGAGATCAAGTCAGGTGGGGAACCAACCTCGCCAGGCTGCTCCAGCACAGGACTTCTAAAGGCTGCGATCTCCTGGCTCACAACACGTCTGAGGGGCAGAGCCTCCTGCCGCATTACCGTGTGACAGAGCGTGTCAGGAACCTTCCCCCAGACCAGCGCCTCCCAGCACCGCGCACAAGGTGCCAGGAAGCGGACGCTCCTTGTCCTCCTCCTCACGCACACCGAGCAAGAGCCCTGCGCACTCCCTGTCCCTTCTGAGTGCAGGGCTCTTTAAACAGAAAGCCGTGCCACTCCTCCCCTCACTTCCTTCAGATCGTTCTGTCAAAGAGAACTTCCACAGCTGGCTATCGAAGACAGTGCCACCCTCCCACTACCCTTCGTGCCCACGCCCGCTCTGCTTCCTCTTGCACTCATCGCCATGTGGGACAAGTGCCCTGCATCCTGTGTTTACTTGTTTGGTGCCTGTCACCCACCCTACCACACACAAATGTCTGCTCCATGAGAGCTCCCCGAGGGCTTTGTCCATTTTGGTTCCCGCCATGCCCCAGTGCCGAGCACAGGACCTGGAACACTCTACGTGCTCAGCGCACGTTTGCTGAACAAAGGACTAAACGTCCCCCAAAGCACCCGACTACAGTCCCTGCTAGTACCTGCCTTCATCATGCCTGACCACAGCCTTGGGACCCCGCATGCACTGTGCCTGACCACCCCTCCTCAAAGAGAGATCCCCCATGACAGCCGTTCAGCAGGGACCCCAATCCTGCCAACTGCCCGGGGAGCCCCACAGGGCCCAGAGCAGGTCCTCACCTACCCACTGGGATTTCTTCCTCCTCTCTTTCTCAGTGCAAAATGGCTCTAGTTTGGAAGGGGCATGAGCTCCACAGCCCACTGCAGGCAGGAGGGAGAACATGGGGTAGAGGGCCCCGCCCCCTATGTCTGGGTTCAAACCTCAGCTCCCCACTTAGAAGGCTGCACAGTCTTGGATATAGAATTCAATCCTCTGAGCCTTTGCTCCTCTGTAAAATGGGGATGCACCCCCTCCCTTGGAAGGACTGCCATGATAGGTTTCAAGGGCCCCTAGCAGAACACGCCTTCCTGCATACCTTGAAGAAGCCGATGATGCCCACCCCGTAGGCCACGCAGTACTTGTCCAGGAGCTCCCGGTTCCAGGCGTCCAGGTTGACGTATTTGAGGATGTTCTCGTAGATGACGAGGGCAAAGCGGCCGCGGCCCTTGTCGGTGAGCGTGGGCATGTCCCCCTTGCCCGGCGCGATCTCCGTGCGGTACTTGAAGCGGCTGGACTCCAGGATGGCCACCACCTCCTGGCCCAGCTGCGAGTAGAGGCTCTCTACGAACACCAGGACCAGCGGGTCTGTGCGAGAAGGGGTAACCGGCTGCACAGGCTTCAGCGGCAGCAGGCGGCTGGGGGCCACAGGCGGCGGGTCCCCGCAGTCGGACTCAGGGGCGTCCACCGAGGGCTCCAGGCCCCGCTTCCAGCCATACAAGTAGTAGGCCGAGACGAAAACACTGAACAAGCAGAAGATGAACAGCAGAAAAAGGACAGCCTGTGGGGACACGTGCCGACACAGCCTCCGGAGGCACGCCAGGGCAGGCATCCTGGCCCCCGAGACCTCAGCCACCGGAGGCCTGGCCTGCCCTGGCCACCCCAAGGCCCCACGCAGGAGATGCAAGAGCTGTCCACTGACCAAGAAATTCACAGAGACTTAGGAAGCGAAGCCCTCAGTGGGCAGTGGGAGTGGAGGATCCGGGCCCCGGCCTTCCTCCCTGCCAGGGGCGCAGTCTGCAGGCTGGTCTTGCTCCTTCCTTCCTCTGCGCCCCTTTATGTCACCATGGCAAACCCCCACGTGGTCCTGCGCAGAGCAGAAGTGCCCCAGGGCGTCAGGGCCTCCTGGGGGTGCTGGGCAGCAGGCCAGAGGACACAGGGCCAGTCAAAGGATGCCGCATGCCACTCACACAGGAGGGCCACGGGGCTGTGGAGAGAAGAGCAGAGAGTCAGTGTGGGCTTCGGGGGCAGCTGACTCAGGTCCTCAGGAGGCAGCCCGAGCTCACGGGCCGCTGCCCGACCTCATGGCATCATGTTGAGGCAAGCAAGCTCTGTAATCTCCCTGAGCCTCAGTTTCCTCATGACTGGACTGGGGCCAACAGTTAACAGTACCCACCTCACAAGCGGGTGAACGATCAAGTCCATAACCCCTTAGGCATCTACAGTGGTGCCTGTTATTTTTTCATATCATCAGAGCCCAAAACTGGGCCAAGAAAAATTCAGAAGCAGGAAAGATAAAGTACGACACTAAACACTTTCGAGACCTAGGAGCAAGAGGTGGAATTCTAAATCAAGACCAACATCACATCCTGCTCTTCCCTGCCCACTGATCTCTGAATGACCCAAGCAGCCCCATCCAACAGGGGAAAACATCGAGCCTCCCCGAGAAGCAGGCACGGCAGGGTTCCAGCCCAGGGCTTTGAGGCACCCTGCCTTGGCCACCCGAGGCCTCAGCACCTTTCCTGCATGGGACACTCATCTGTAACCCTGCTCAGGGCTGTGGCTGCGGGATGCCTGGGTAAACGAGCCTAAGGAAAGTGGCACAAGAAACATTCAGAAATGGCTGCTGTCACCACTTACTCCGGATCAAGCATGCCTCTGTCGCGCCTGGGGTACACGCTACAGGTACAGAGGGTAACCCTGGACATCAGCTGACCAATCCTCGCAAGGTCCTGGACTGACTGCAAGGGACAGGTGAGGAGGCTCTGCTCACTGAGCCTCTGTTTACTCAGGCAGCCAGAACTCTTCCAGCAGCCTGTACCCCATGCCCAGGCCATGCCCAGGCCATGCCCAGGCCATGCCCCTGCACCCATCTCAATGGCAAGTTAACTGAGACCCACAGATACTGTCAAAGGTCCCAATTCCCTTGCCCCCAGCAGCAACCCAAATACACTCAAGCACAATTCAAAGCCAGAAAGTGAGATTTCCCAGCAATCCAATGGGCAGCCTTCTAAGGATCACAGCCACCGAGAGCTAGCAGGAGTGCTCCCCACACCAGGATGGAAGTGCAGGACCTAGACAGCCACAGCAGGAAGACAGACATGCACGTGGCCCTGGAGGTGACGATCCCTGATGTCCCTCCCAGCCCCCAAACTGTACGACAGCATGCCAGACCCCCAACAGTTGCATTTCCAGGAGTTCACAGTAGAGGCAGTCACTGCAGAAGTGTGTAAAATATCCCCCACAGGAATATGAATCCCATTGAGGCTTACAGTAACAAATGCCCAACAAGGGGCGGATTGTCTTTAGAGATTACAGTGCAAGTATATGATGCAGTCCTGAGTAGCCTGGGTAGCCATTCACAGTTATGCTGCAAAAGGACATTTATTGACATTCACCATATACATTGTTGAAGTGGAAAACATCTATAAAACAGTTTGTATGTATGGTTGTGCTTGTGTTAAATATTTTTATACACAGTCCAGAAAGTGGGACTAAATATGAAAAAATAAAATGAAAACTGTTGCTAACACTGACTATCTCTGGATGATTTTCACCTTCTGCCTTTGTTCATGAAATGAAGAAAGGAGCCGGACGGCAGGTTTGGTCCTAGCTGCACCAGGAATCGCTGTGTGACCCTCAGTGCAGCCTCTTCTGCTCTGGGGTTCCTGCCTGTTACAGCGGACTTGGCCAGATGGCCTCTGGGTGCTCTTCTACCTCCGATGCTCCTCCCTGCAGGCTTTACTACATGCCGGAGGAAACCTGGGGGAGCACAGGCAGCCGGGACAGCAAGCCCCTACAGTGCAAGGAGGTGAGTGTGGCAGGTGGGGAAGGAAAGGTGTCTTAGGTACTGAACCGCTCTGGAGCGGGAGGGGGCACTGCAGAAGTTTCCTGGAAGAGGTGGCACCTGAGTGAGCTCAGCAGAAATGGGGCTGGCCAGGGTCAGAGAGAATGGTGCATGCCATGGCCTGCAGATAAGGGAGTGTGTGGCGCTTTCCAGGGACTCCCTGCATTCTAGGTGAGAGCAAGGCAAGGGAGGGCAGGTGTCCTGACAGCCAGAAAGACTGGACTGACTGTTCTTGTTTATGCCCAGTGCACACAGGGTGTCCTATTTACCACCGATAAGGGCTGCCTGCCGCCACAGCCAAGCCCCACCCCGTGGCCTGGGGCCAGGACAGAAGTACAATGGGTGGGGAGGTAGGGATGCCCCATGCTGCCCTGCCCACATTGGCCACCCAACCCCAGGGAATGGGGGGAGCCCCTGAATGCTGCAGTCCCTGGCCCTCTATCACATTAACAGCCTTTCAGCACATAAATGATGCAATCCAGACAGTCCCAGGCATCTGAGGGTCAAAGACCCCTGTGGGAGTTTGACATTTTCAATACAGAAAATATGCACAGTAAAACACGCACATGGTTGCCAAGGCCGGGGCTGAAAGGATGAACAGGCAGAGCCCAGAGGATGCTCAGCAGAGCGAGACCACTGCACGGGGTACTAAAACCACGGCTCCATGTCATACGCCTGTCCACATCCAGCGAACGCGCAATATCAAGAGTGAACCGACTATAAACCATGAGCTCTGTGTGAGAACCATGTGTCTATGCAGCTTCACCAACTGGTGGGGATGACGCTCGAGTGAGGATGCTGAAAATGGGGATGGAGGGGTTCACATATACAACATGGGAAATCTCTGTAATTTCCTGTCAGTTTTGCTGTGACCCTAAAACTGCTTTAAAAATATAAACTTAATATATATATGCATATGTGCGTATAAGTACACATGCCCCACTTACTCATATACTGGGAAATGTAACACTGTCAAGGAATCCAGATCCCATGCCCCAGACAGACTGGACCAGAAGTCCTACAGCAGTGATGGCGAACCTTTTAGACACAAGGGCCCAAACTGCAACCCCAAGCTCATTTAGCACAAAGTGCCAATACTGCAATTAAACCTGAGATGTTGGTTTAGAATAAAACAACTCACACATTAATGTCTTTTGTCTTAAAAGAAAAATATCCGTGCCATAGGTTCACCACCACTGACCTACAACACACTGGAGTCAGGTGGCTTCAGTTCAAACCCAAGTTCTACCTAGTAGCAACATAACCTTGGGCAAGTTACTTCTGAGTGCCTCAGTTTTCCATTTTGTAAAACAGTACAATTTTACCTACTTCCCAAGGCTGTGAGAACTGAATGAGCCGCCGTGTGAAACGCTCCACCACACACCTGGCACACGCACCAAGGCTCTGTCTGCCGCTGTCCTGATGCACGCCTGTTGCTTATTTAACGTACTCACAACAACATTTCTCAATATGGACAATAACTTCTCGCACAAAGCACTCTGGAGCTCATCTCTCTGGCTCAAGTCCCTGGCAGCCCAGGAATTCGGCAGAGGTGAGCGCCCTGATTTCAGGGAGGGAGAGCGAGGTGGGAGGGCGCTTCGTGCTTGCTCTGTGCGTGGAGCAAGCAGCCTCAGCTGCCACTGCTGGCTCCTCTCACCACACATCTGAAGAATCCCATCTCTGGAGGAGGCCGAGGCCTTCCTGGGGGACTGGGATAAGGCCCTGGCAAAACCCAGGTCACAGGGAAAGTAAGGCAGCCCCAGCCCCCAGAGAAAGCCAAATGTCCTGGGGAAGGGGAGAGCCACTGCTCTGAAAACAAAGCGCTGACCACCCAGCTTGCTGGCAAGTGGGCCTCAGTAAGCTTCCCTGCCACCCACTCAGAGGCCCACTGCCAGCGCTCAAGCCTTTCTACCCCGCTGCATTCCAGAGCCCCTGCGGCTCGGCCCGAGGGGTAAAGAGCTGGGGGCTTCCAATCCCCCTGGAGCCCCCTAGCACAGCTGGAGCTGGGGCCTCAGTGCCCTTACTGCCCCGGGCGTGCTGACATCATAATCACCAGCCCTTTTCCGTAACCCACAGCCTCATCCAGCCAGTCATCCATCGTGGTCAAGCATCTAGGGCTTTGCTAATGGGGTTCCCATTGCCAAGAATGCCTCCCCCAACCCGCTGGGACACTTACGCATCCTTCCCCATCCAGATCCAGTGTCCTCCTCACCTCTCTGAAGTCATGTCCAGCCACCACCCATCCTGCCCCCAAGGCCCAGTGCTCCGGGCTCCCGCCCACCCCACGAGCAGCCCGGAGCTGGGAACCAGGCCCCTAGGGCAGATGTGTGCTCTTTGGCTCATACAACGCTTTCCTCTAATCTGGAGTTAGCTAACATGTTAAAATCTGATTTTACATACAAGTCAGCACTTCTAACTTCTCTTTAAAAAGGGAATGGTTGGCCTGGAGTGGTGGCGCACACCTGTAATCCCAGCACTTGGGAGGCTGAGGCAGGTGGATCATTGCGAGTGCGAGACCAGCCTAGGCTACAAAGTGAGCTCAAGGCCAGCCTGAACTGCATAGCTAGACCGTGTCTCCAAAATGACAAAAAATTAACTAATTAATTAATTAATTAAAATAAAAAGGGCATGGTTGGCCTGGCGTGGTGGCACAAGCCTATAATCCCAGCACTTGGGAAGCTGAGGCTGGAAGGTCACTTTGAATTCAAGGCCAGCCTGAACTGTAATCTAGTGATACCAAGCTCACATCAGCTAAGATGCACACAGTGTCTGCCTCACGAGCCACATATTCTCCAGCCCACAGTCACCGCTTCCCCCACTTGCACCCCGCCCGGCACCACCCACCCTTCAACCTCAGCCTCCGCACAGATGTCTCCCAAGGCTGCCAAACCCCCAGGGCAGGACCAGGACTTACCAGCTCTGCACTACACAGATAGACCCTATCCTGCACAGGTCCTCGGCAAACACAGCTTTGCTTTCTTCTTGGCCCTTAAGTCTTGGGTGCCCCTAAGGGCAGCGGGCGAGTCTGAGTCCTTGTGGAAGCTCTCACTCCCCAAGAGCCAGGTTTTTACAGAGAACTTGGGATTTGAGCACCTGTTATTATTCCCACTTTACAGATAAGGAGAAGGCTCCACGCAGAG